ATTCTCCCCCCCCCCCACCACAGTTGTAAAGTTTGTTTTCGACATGACAACTTGTACTTCTCATTGCTGCTTTTTGAAAATTTTTTTGGGGGTCGTGGGGCCTGAACTCTGGACATGGGCGCTATCCCTCAGCTCTTCAGCTCAAGGCTAGCGCTCTACCACTTGAGCCACAACACCACTTCTGGCTTTTTTTTTCTTTTTGCTTATGTGGTGCTGAGGAATCGAACCCAAGGCCTCAGGCATGCAAGGCAAGCGCTCTACCACTGGGCCATCTTCCCAGCCCCTAGAAACTTTTTAAAGAAGTAACTTTTTATGGAAAAAAGAGAGATGGGGGTAGAATTGGTGAATGTGAATCTCTTTACATTTTGGACAGTTGGAAGAAGAAACTGAGACACATGGAGCTGGGGGAAAGGGTACAGTGTAGACAGACAAAGGGTTGGAGTAGTGCAGGCATGGCTGACAGAGTACTGTTTCTTGTTTACAGTCAGTATTGTCTCCAGAACTGAGGCCCCACAGCCTGTCTTCTTTTACAGCATAACTTGGGGATCCTCCCATCTGTCATGTGTCTTGGTGGCAGGAAGATGGTCTGTGTACCAGAACACCAAGGGGCTTCATCCTTGCCTGTCCATGTATACAGAATGCTCTGTAGTTTTTTCACTCTACCTATCCCCGCAAGACTTCAGCTGGGACTGGGGACAGTGTTGAGCTAGCCTAGGCCAGGCATGAGCCTCTTCTTTGGCTGCCCCCTGGGTGATCAACCCACTTCTGCCCAGCTGGATTTGGGGTAGGGAGGGGTGAAGGTATCTGCTAGGGCTGTTCCCTGGAGACAGGAACAGGGTTCAGGCACTGAAAATTCAGGCCATTCTGAGTTCTCACTGGTGGCTTCTGCTGTACCCCTGAGCCAGTAGCCATGATGCATGTTAAGAGTCATGACAGAAAGCCTGAGTCAGAATTTTTCTTGGTGGGAAGACAGCAGGGTTGGCCCTAACCTGTATATACAGTATCTATCCTCCTCCCTGACCTCTGCCCAAAAGTAGAGCCACAGAATTAGAGCCCAAGTGGAAATAATTGGAGGGGGAGAATTCTCTTCTTATACCTAAGACAGGGAGGTACCCTCTGGAGGCCAAGACTGTGCCCCCCAGAGTTCAAGTGGGTGAGCGGCCATTTTGGAATCCTAGTAGAAAAGGTTGGTGTTTGAAGGGCAGAGAGAGTGCTCAAGCAGGGCAAGCAGGTTGGCATTGATGCTACAAAACCGTCATCCAGTAGATTCCTTATGGGGAACCAGCCAACACTCCTCTGTGCTTTCTTAGAACTTGAAGAGATTCACGTAGTAGCAAGGGATTCTGGAAGGGCAGTTCAAAGGAAAGTGTCCCTGTAGGATTTGGAGGGTACCTGGAGAATTGTGTGAAGCCCATAGTGATGCTGGTGCCTGAGCCATTGAAGTTTCACAGGTGTCAGATTAGGAATCAGATGGGAATCAGGCCATAGGATGAATAGGCTCTGTGGTTAAGAGGCAGCCATTCCTGGGTGCAACTAGCAGTAGACTTTGAGTATTAGGAGTCATGGTTAATTGATTGGGAATAGTTTACCTACTTGCATTTCTAAAATTACTTTTTCATGGACAAGAGTCCATAGAGTTTACAGGTCTCTATTATAAGTGTATCTCTCATCTTCCATGTCTCATCCTTGGAAGAACTTGTGGCTGTATTTTATCCTGGATGACTGTACAATTTTTCTTTTTTCTTTTCTTGTTTTTCTTTACTTTTTTTTGTCAGTTGTGAGGCTTAAACACAGGGCCTTGGCACTGTCCCTGAGCATTTTCTTTCAAGGCTAGTGCTCTACCACATGGAGCCACAGCACCACTTTCAGTTTTCTGGTGGTTATTTGGAGATAAGTCTCATGGACTTTCGTGCTCAGGCTGGCTTTCAATCCCAATCCTCAGATCTCAGCCTCCTGCGTAGGATTATAGGCATGAGCCACTCATAATGCCCAACTTTGTTGTTTTTGATATGTGCTGTTTCTTTTTGTCTCCAGATAAATGTTCAGAAGTGTACCTTTACTCCCATTATTTCAAACTTTCAAAGTTCTGAAGTGAATTTATGTGAAGTGAGCCTTTTGAGTTCAAACAACCCTCTCTCCCAATCCCCAAGTGGCAGGGTCTGAACCCACTGGATCCACGGCAAGAACTGAAGCACTAATTGATCTGCGATAGCCCCATTCCTGCAAGTAGCTTTGGCTTTTTGACAAACAGGGCAACCAACACTCTTGCTCAACCCTATCACCACCACTCTGCAACTCCCTCACTCCTCACCCCTGCAACTGCCACCTCACCAGTCTGTCAGGCCAACGTACCTCCCTGGCTCCATATTGATTCAGCTTTTGGAGTAACACAGTGGGATAGTTGGGCCAATACATTCCCCAAGTACCTATAACTCCCTCTTCCTCTTATAAGAACAATTTTTTAAAAATCATGCTCAAAAAGTTCCACTTGATGGTACTGTTTTGCCAAAAATACCAACTACAATGCCCCTTAACACTGGTCCTCCATCCTTTGTGCCTTTTTAGGCATTAGGTTTTGGTATACTGTGTAGAGATGCAGAAGTGCAGGGAGAAGTGGTATCTTTCTCAAGCTATCTGTTACAGAATATAAAAATGTAAGGGAAGATATAAAAGGAATCAATGCATCTGTGTAACCAGGGCTATGAATCATCTTCTTAGGAGTTATCAGTCTATCAGAGCTCCTTAGGTTTCTGAGCTCACTTATAGATATACTGTAGGTCAGGTGCTCTTGGATACAGTTGTTTCCCAGGGGCACATTGATTTTTCAACTTGAGGTGGAATGAGTCTCTAGTTTTTCCCTATTGTTGTTGTTGCAGGTATTGTGTTTATTCTATTCTCATCTAGTCGAGCTTTGTGTAACCAGTGGCTTTATCCTACTTAAGGATATAAAAGAGCAACTATCAAAGAGAGTAGGCCATTGTAGAGGAAGCAGAAGCTCAGGTGAGAAAAAAGCAAGTATATTGCCCTGACTCTCCTCTATGGGTATAAAGGGGTCACTGTCCATTGATTGCTCTTTGTTAGGTATCCTTGGGCCAGGAGGAGGGCCCAGTGACCTCACACAGGCAGGTGACCTTACAGGCTTGTGACATTACAGCTCTGTATCAAACAATGGTGTACTCTCCACTGAAGCACCTCTATCATTCTTCACACATGAGTATGTACATGTATACACGTATGCACATCTGTAACTTCTTACATATGTATATTTGCATGTGGTTTTTTCCTTTTTCTTCTGCAACCACCATGGAGATGTCACAGTAGATGAGATTCTTCCCAATGAAAAAGACAGTCCTGTCAGGTACCAGTGGCTCATGCCTGTAACCCTAACTACTGAGGAGGCTGAAATCTCAGAATTGAAGTTCAAAGCCAGCCTAGGCAGGAAAGTCCATGAGACTCTCATCTCCAACTAAGAACTGAAAATGCTGGAAGTAGAGCTGTGGTTCAAGTGGTAGAGCTCTAACCGAGAGCAGAAACACTCAGGGACAGTGCCCAAGTCCTGAGTTCAAGCCCCAGGACTACCACATGCACACACACACAAAAAAACAGTCCTTAACATTGTAAGGACATTGTACAACATTTCCATGTTGTACTGGTTTTCAATCCCCACACCCACGCCCTTATTCACCCTCCCCAGAGAACCACATATAATTTTTCCTTGTGTATATGCTTCTGTTGTCCAGTGATAATAGAACCAACCAGGGAGCTATGTCTGTGTACATTCCTCTTAAACTTCAACCTTTTCACTAACAATAGGCTCTTGTATTTCTCTGTTTTCTGGAAATGTAGATCTTACTGGACTCTGTGTCTATGTAGAATCAATGTCATGCTGGATCTTTTCATGTGCCTCTTTGGTAACTGTTTAGAGTGCATGTGACTGTCTCTCCTTTAGGAATATCATTTATTTACCATGTCCCTCTATTTTCATAGTAGGCTCCTCATTGCCAACTTCCATTCTTCTTGAAATAGAACTGGCTATGAAGCTGCATGCAAAGTCCTATTTCTAATATTGTGGGGTATGCTTGTGTATGTTATATTTGTCTCCTGTCTCTATGGCTAGCCAGAGATAAATGTCAGGTCACTTAAGACATGGCCACATACTCTATAACTAACACTACCCCTGGAAAGTGTGAAGCAGATCTGTGTATAGAGTAGAGATGTCTGGTTCCCATTCATCTATCTGTGAGCCAGAAGAGCTACTGATCAGTCAAGGCCCTGCTATTCCATTCAACGGGAAGGAGGGATCAGGCTTGTATGAAGATATTCTGAAATGCATTCTGCTATAGTCAGACAATGCAGAGATGAGGAGGGAAGTTATGCAAGAATAGACATGAAGGAGATAGTGGTCATTCCCACCAAAAAAAGAAAAAGAAAAAAGAAAAAATTCATGGAGAAATATATCCTCCGGCTTCACCCAGGACTATTCAATGAGAAATGTCTGTTCGTTGAAAACAGTTCTGAGATACATATATGCAATTTTCAAGAATGAGTAGACCAGCAGGACACCAGTGGCTCACACCTGTAATCCTACCTACTCAGGAGACTGAAATCTGAGCATCGCAGTTCAAAGACAGACTGGGCAAGAAAGTCTATAAGACTCTCATCTCCAATAAACCATCAGAAAACCAGAAGTGGCACTGTAGCACAGGTGGTAGAGCACTAGCCTTGAGCTGAAGAGCTGAGGGACAGCGCCCAGGCCCAGAGTTCAAGCCCCGTGACTGACAACAACAGCAAAAAAGAATGAGAATGAGTAGACAAAGCCCAGATGCCAGTTGCTCTCATTTGTAAATCCTAGCTATTCAGGAGGCTGAGATCTGAGGATTATGGTTCAAAGCAAGCCTGGGCAGGAATGTCTGGGACTCATCTCCAGTTAACAACCAAAAATAACTGGAACTAGAGCTGTGGCTCAAGTGGTAGAGTGCAAGCCTTGAGCGAAAAAGCTAAGTGACAACATCCAGGCCCAGTGTTCAAACCCTAGTACCATCGCGATTTAAAGAAAGAAAGATGAGTAAACTAGGTATCTGACTATATGCTCTTCAAATGTCAAGAGCTTTTACCATAGCCTAAATGCACTCTTCAGTTTGGTTTGTTGAGGTGTTACAGTGCCATCATTTGGCCATCAATTTGGCAGTTGCATATGGAATAAAGGATATTCTGGTGCCTCCTTGCAGGACAAACTCCTCTTCACAGACAGAAAGGCACCAACTGTGACTAAAAGAATCTCTAACTGCTGGTATTATGGGTAAGTGCATTTTGTTCCTATCTTTTTCCTTTCAAATATTGCCATGGGAAAGGCAGTGGTCATTATATGTCAGCACCCTTCCAAGAAGGAGAAACAGTCAAGGTAAGTAGATTCCTGCATGTGTTGGTATCTTCTTATGTGATTTTCAAACACAGGTGATGGAAAAGAGCCTTGAATGAAGTCTCAATGGTGAGATCTGAAGTAGAAGTTATATAATGATTATCCAAGGGGTTTGAAGTCAGTCCACAAAACTTGAGACCAGCATTCTGAAAGGCAGGAGACACAGGAATGAGTTTGAGCCTAGGCCCAGTGAGGCCATTTGCTAGTGACAGGTCCATTAGGTACTGGTATTGATTGCCATGCCTGTTTCATCCTTCATCTCATGATTGCTCTTTCACCCATTTCCCTGCACTCTGACCCTATATCAAACCAGAAAGGATGGGGAGTTTGCAGGTACTGAAATATGAAGAAAGCACTTGTGTGGAAAAGATTAGATACCCACTCCATCATACAGACAAAGACCAATCTTTCCATGCCCCTCAGTCTGTCTCTTGACAGACCAATAAACCTGAAGAAGTATGATTTTACTGGGCATGGTGGTGCACATCTGTATTTTTAGCTACTTGGGAAGTGCAGCTTTGTTTATTTCTCAATAGATTTTTTTTGGGGGGGGGGGGGGTCTGGTTGTAGGGCCTGAACTCTGGGGCTGGGCGCTGTCCCTCAGCTCTTCAGCTCAAGGCTAGCGCTCTACCACCTGAACCACAGCGCCACTTCCGGCTTTTTTCTTTTTGCTTATGTGGTGCTGAGGAATTGAACCCAGGGCCTCATGCATGCAAGGCAAGCACTTTACCACTGAGCCACCTTCCCAGCCCTTCTCAATAGATTTTAAGTGGCAGAGATGGCATCTCCAGTGGTAGAACATTTGTATAGCATACACAAAGCACCATGAATGAATGAACACAGGGGGAAAATGCCATTCCAAAACAGTGGAACCTGAGCACATGAATTCTCTCCCGTGGACATACCCTGCTCTTCAAATAATGTTGACCCTATACTTAGGCCAGTCAGAAGAGCCAGGTGGCCACCAAGGTCACTGTCCTGAGACCTGGCCCAGGATCAGTTACTTCAGTCCTACCAGAACGCTTACAGACAAACACATAAGATGCATGTGTGCTTGTGAGGACTCTTGTGTTTTACCTTAAGAAGAAATGAAACATCTAAACCAGGCCCAATGGCTCATACCTAGCTACTCAGAAGACTAAGATCTGAGGATCACAGTTCTTATTCACTAATTTGTCTAGCCCAAGCAGGAAAGTCCTTGAGAGTCCTATCTGCACTCAACTACCAAAAAAGCCAGAAGTGGAACTGTGGCTCAAGTGGTAGAGCACTGGCTTGAGCACAAAAGCTCAGAGAGTGCCCACACCTTGAACTGAAGCCCCAGGACTGGCATAAAAAGACTTATTTCCTTCCTCTGCGTCTCAACTCCTTCTCCTCCTTGTCTTCTTTCTTCTCTCCACTCTGCTCCACATTTGTAGTACTGGGGATTAAACCCAAGGCCAAGTGTGCTAGAATGGGGAACTCATCATTGATTGCCTTTGTGACAAAAAGACTCATGGCTTCACACAGGCAAGCGACTTTATGGTGTAGCTGGACCAAGAAACCTATAATGTCTTGAAGTGCTGAGGTATTCCCTTTTAAGAGAAACACAAACACCTCAGGAGCAAATGAATATATATGGAGTTGCGAGTAAAAACCATGGTAGAGAGTATGGAATGAGTAAGTTCAGAGCAATTGTAACAAAATCAGTGTTTTCGCAAATACAACTCTTCTCCTTTCATATAAAAGACCAAAGGAAACATAACAAGAAACACAACATAAAGACTGCTATCAATCATGCCATTCTGACCCAATTCCTAAAATGTATAGACCATCCTTGACAGAAGAAAAGATATTAAGTGTACTGTGGAATTAAAATATTTGGCAGAGTTGGGTGCCTGTGGTTCATGCCTGTAATCCTAGCTACTCAGGAGGCTGAAATCTAAGGGTCACAGTTCAAAACCAGCGCAGACAGGAAAATCCATGAGACTCATATCTCCAATTAACCACCAGAAAACCAGAAATGCAGCTGTGGCTCAAAGTGATAGAGCACTAGCCTTGACAGAAAGAGCTCAGGGACAGCGCCCAGGCCTTGAGTTCAAGCCCCAGGACTGGCCAAATACATATGGGGGGGGGGCAGTATTTAGCAGTATGCAGTAGATGGTCTTGGAAAACCACTACTAACTGTACAATAGTTTCTTCAATCCACTAGTGAGCCTAGAGAAAAACTAAAGTTTCTGTTTAAGGAGCCTGTCCCTTCCTATGTTTGATGAAGGCAAAAAGAGGACCCTCCAGATTCCCTAGCCTTCAGGGCAGAGCCAAAGGCCCCCCTTGGTTTTTGTGCACTGAGGCTGTGCAGTCCAGAGCCCAAGTGGGTGAGCAGCCATTTTAAAATCATACTGGAGAAAGTTGGTGTTTTTTGTTCCATGAAGGGCAGAGGTAGGGCAGCAGGGGAAGGGCAGGTTGGCTTTCCTAATACAACACTGCCATCAAGAGGACCCAGTTTTCAGAAACCACCAACACTTCCCCATGTGCTTTTAAAACTACAAGGGGCAGGCATGCAACACGGGTCTCTGAGAGCCACTGGACAAAGGTTTCCGTTGGAGGACACTGGGTTCTCAGAATCTGGCATGTGGAGAGAGCCCTTGGAGAAGCCAACCCATGTCTCCTTGAATGTTGGAAGGGTCAGAGGCCAGAGACAAGCCCAGGTGGCCAGCTGGGGTAGCTGTGGGCAGACACAAAAAGCACAGGTTCTGTGGTCACATGGCAGCCATGTCTGGGAGGGATTGTAGTCAGGATCTGCAGAGCTCTCAATATCTCCAGGCTCTGTGACCACGTGAACAGTTGGTCTTCATCATCCTTTCTTTTGCAGAAACTGGCAAGTGGGAATCAAGTGGGTCCCTGGACCCAGGAGGATCTCTGCTGTACACAGCCCCATCCCTTCCATAACTCATGAATGGCTGGCATGCCTGACCAGTGGCGCATTGTCTCAGCTGCCTAGGCTTGGCTCTCCATCTCCAATGTTCTGGAGAACAGGACTTTTTTTCTTGTTCCCCTGGCAATGCAAAAAGCCTTAGGTATTCTGTGAACATGGTGTAACACTGGGCTGGATCCCCAGCCACATTATTGAAAGAAACACACACACACACATCCTGTTACAAGGCAGCAGCAACTGAAGAGCCCCTGTTTTGTCTCCATAACCCAGTTTCAGGAGCTTGTCTTTGCAGAATGAATTCTGGTTCCTCCCAACTGTCATGTGACCCAACACTAAAATGGTGGCTTAAGTATTGGAGTGTCTGCACTTACCTGCTCCAACACTTATGTTAAGAAATGGGAAGCCATGGTATAACCTGCTTTCACTGTATTTGATTCCGGTGCCCTAGATCTTGTATGTACATTTTTCTAATTTGGGGAAGGGAAAGGAAATAACAAAATACTGAAATAAGGATACAGGTTGACCCATTGTAACAATGAGATGTACAAGACACTATGTTGAAAATGAACTTTGCAACTTTGGGGGGAAGGAGTTGGGAAGATGGGGAGGGAAGGGGTGGTAGAGGAAAACAAAGGAGGGGGGGTAATAATGCTCGACAGGAAATGAACTCATTACCTTACTCATTTACTGTAACCCCTCTGTAAGTATCTTTACTACAATACATACATACACACACACACACACACACACACACACACACACACACACACACACACACACACACACACACACACACATATGTATGTATATGTATAAAAGAGATGGAAAGCAATGAACTAAACCAAGGGAGAGGGGCTGCCATGTGGCATCAACCCACTCACCTGGGAGACATGCTTATCCTTTCAGTACCGCGTACACAGAAGTCCAATGTGGGTGATTCTTTCATAGAAGAGAAGGTACACGACCCTCTTGGACATCCAGTGGTGGCCACTGCTGCGAACCTAAGCCAGTGTCCATGATGCACGCCATGACTCCTAAGAGAAGGCCCAAATCAGAATTGGTCCAGGTGGGCAGACAGCACTGTGATCCCCAAACCAGGGCACACTTGTCCAACTTTCCTCTCTGATTTCTGCCCAAGGGCTGAGTCAAAGAAAGGGTAGGTTAGAGCCCTGGGCAGGGTGGGGGTACCAAGAGAAAGCCTTTCCTTCTTGTGCCTAAGACAGGAAAGAAAGAAGACCCTCCAGAGTCCCTAGCCTGTAGGGCAAAGTCAGACTTCCTTTTTGGATTCTGTCTACCCAGGCTGTTCAGTCCAAAGCCCAGGCAGGTGAGCAGCCATTTTGGAGTCCTAGTGGAAAAGGCTGGCATTTTTTGCTCTACAGTAGGAAGAGGGAACGCAGCAGGGGACTAGCAGGCAGGCATTCCTGGTACAATGCTGCCATCAAGAAGATTCAGTTTCAGAATCTGCCAACACTTCTGCATACTTGGAATTGGAAGGGTGGGCATGTGCATAAAGGACTTGGGAAGAGCAGTAGAATAAAGGAGTTCCTGGATCCAGGGATATGTAAGGAGCCTGTGGAAGAGCCTACCTGTATCTACTTGGTGGAAGTGCCAGAGGCAGAAGATAAGCCCAGGCTGCCAGCCAGGGTGACTGGTGGGCGGGACATAGGAAGTGCAGGCTCTGCAGTCAGGTAGTGGCCACGTCTGGGAGGGATTTCTGACAGTATTGGTAGAGCCCTCAGCATCTTGTGGCTCCAGGACTGTCTGGAAACTTGGCCTCATTCCCCTTCTTGTGGGGAACTGGTAGAGCAGAACCAAGCAGGTCCTGATGAATCCAGGAACTGCTGACTGGCTGGATGTCACTGACCAGTAGCACATTGTCATAGCTGAGCAGCACTTATTACTCCATCTTTAAGGTCTTATACATAATTATGTTTTATGTAAGACAGAGACTTTTTACCCAACTTAAGATGAAATTCAGGTCATCTACAGGGCGAGGATAGGGAAGGAGGCAGGGCACAGTTGTATTTGTATTTACCAGATTCTTACAAATACTGAGAGTGTGTTCTCTGATATGAAGCGATGCCCCTCAGTCTAGTTGAAAATTTTTTGAGAATGTTCTCCTTTGAAACGAGGTCCTTGATTATCCTGACAGAATAATAAAAGTATTAAAAAAATTGTTTAGGGGTGAGAAAGAGAAAATGAAAATCCACATGATATCCAGGAAACAGAAAGACACAGGTAGAAAGAGGTAGGAAGCTTGAATAGTCACATGAAGAAATGATGAGGCCTATAGAGCCTAGAGAAAGGGTGCAGTATAGATAGACAAATGAGGTTTTGTTTCTGGGCAATGCCAAGCAGATACTTCAGAGGTCCAGATCTGGCTGGGGCAGGGCAAGAGTAGCTGAGGAGGGGACTATTCCTTTCACTCAGTGTTGTCACCAGATCAGAAGCCACCACAGCCTGCCTTTTTATTTTAAAACATAACTTTGGGGTCCTTCAAACTGTCATGTGTCTCAGTACCAGGAAGGTGGCCACGATGGTCTGGGTCCACCTGAGCAGAGATTTCACAGAGAGATGATCTCTGTGCAACACTAAAAGGCGTTGGCCTGGTCTGTCCACAGTGGGGCTCTGACCTAAAAAATGGAAAAGTTGTCACAAGCATCCACCCATGGACAATTTTTACCCCATTTGCTCACAAGATTTTAACTGAGATTGTGATGAACCACCCTAAGCCTATCCTAAGCCTGTTCTCTGGCACCTGGGTACTACTATGGGTGACCTACCTATCCCTGCCCAATCTGTACTCAGATTCCAGGCAGGGAGGGGTGTCTGCATGTGCTAGGGTTTCTCCACTGAGACCCTGAGTGCAGGAGTCAGGCACTGCAGCTTCAGGCCACTCTAAGCTCTCACTTGTGACCTCTGCTGCACCACTGAACCAGTGGCCATGATACACACTAAGATTCCTGAGAGAAGGCCAGAGTTAGAAATAGTTCAGATGGACAGACAGCAGGGTTGGTCCCAACTTGATGCATGTTTTGTGGTCCATTCTTCCTACCAACCTGCACCTGAGGTAGAGCTAGAGAAATGATAGATTAGAGCCTTGGGTGGGATGCCTGGACGGGGAGGCTTTCCCTTCTTGTGCTTAAGGCAGGCAGAGAGAGGACCCTGTAGGTTTCTTGACCTGCAGGGCTGAGCCAAAATTGAGATTTGGGATGTCTGGCCAACGCTGCCACATCCACAAGCCAAGTTGGTGAATGGCCATTTTGAAGTCTTAGAGGGAAAAAAATAGGACTTTTGTTTTCTTAACAAAGGCTGGTGACAACACACCAGAGGGAAGGACATGTGACATTCTTAGTATAATACTGCCATTAAGAGGATACATTGCTGGGTGCCAGTGGCTCATGCCTGTAATCCTAGCTATCAGGAGGCTGAGATCTGAGGATTGCAGTTCAAAGCCAGCCTGGGCAGGAAAAGCTATGAGACTCTCATCTCCAATAAACCACCAGAAAGCCAGATGTGGCGCTGTGGCACAAGTGCAGCACTAGCTTTGAGCTGAAATGCTGAGGGACAGCGCTCAGGCCAGAGTTCAAGCCCCATGAATGACAAAAAATAAGAAGAAAAGAAAAGAAAAGAGGACCCATCAACACATCAGTGTGTTCTCTTGGAAAGCGGTGAGGTGGAGAATCTGAATTAGGCAGGATATCGAATAGGGTTCCAGAGGTGTTCAGAATACTGGGGAGCCATTTTAAGTTTTTTTTTGGCATGACCCATGTCTTCCTGGACTGTGGAAGAGCCATATAGCTAATCCCATATAGCTAATCTGCTATGGTGGTTAGCCATTTCAGTACAGCTCTTTTGTTTCGATAATTGTTTTGTGCCCATTTGGGGACTTAAACTCAGGACCTGGGTGCTGTCCCTTAGAATTCTGGCTCAAGGCTACTGCTCTACTACTACTTGAGCAACACATTCACATTATGGTGGTTAACTGGAGTAGGAGTTTCATGGAATTTACTGTCCAGGTTGGCTTCTAACTGTAATCCTCCAATCTCAGCCTCCTGAAAAGCTAGGATTACAGGCATGAGGCACTAGTACCTGGCAATTCAACTACTTGCTAGGAAATTATTTTTTCTAGAAAAAAAATTTATTCAATTATTTTCTAGAAAATTATTCTATAAATTCAGGTTCTTCAAGCTCTTTTCCTTTTGGGGGGGAGAGGGATTACGAAGGTTTGGAATTAGAACATGGGAATTATCCCTTAGCTTTTTGCTCAAGGCTGGCACTGTGGCTATACTTAAGCCAGAACTCCAATTCTGGCTTGTTCTTGTTTAATTGGACATAAAATATTCACAGACATTACTACCTGGTCAGGATTCAAACTGAGATTCTCAGATCTCAGCCTCCTAAGTATATAGTATTATAAGCATGGGCCACTACTGCCCAACTTTTTTTTTTTTTTTAACATTTTTGATTAGTACACATTTAGTTAATTCAGTGAGTTCACTGAATTATTACATATATAAATTATTATATGATATATAAACATATATGTAAAAATAATGAACCCTGATAAAAGTCAACATCCAAATCCCTCACATTCAAAGAGTTCTCATGCTTCTGTCCTTTTCCCATATGTAAAATACTTATACTCTATCACTGTTAGTATTATGCTTACCTTTGGCCCTCAGCTCCACCCAGACCTGTGCCCCTTCCATCCCTGGAGTTCCCGCCATACAGCCTCTCCCTCTCTCTGACCTGAACTCCCATCTACCTCACTTCCTACCCTCAGACCCTCCTTCTACCTGGATAGTGAAGTGTGCCAAGTGCTCCCTCTTGGGGGAAATATGGCTCCGCTAATAAACGTTGTAATAATCTTCCTCCTGTGCCTGCCTGCCTCTTCGTGGTCCCCTGGAACGGATGTGAGGGATCCTTCGGTCATACTTTTGGGGGGTGCCAGTTCAGGCCATCCTACTTATCCTTTACTACATACGGGTGCCAACCAATGTCAAATGGCCTAAATGTCTCAGTATCTCACTGATTGTAACTCTCCCTGTACCTCAGAATGCCTCACTTGGTATCACTGTACACGTAAATTATCTGGTCCATAATCTATACCCTGCTTATTCCCTGAACAAAATTATACCTTATGAGCAAAAAAGGGCAATAGACAATCAAGGGGAATTCTTTGTACTGTTTGGAAACATCTACACTACATCTTCTTCCATAATTAAGAGGACAATAAAGTGATGGTGGTCTTATCCAGGTGAAACATCATACAAATTAATGTTTTCAATAGCCAAGGACCCTAGGAACCCATCACATTTCATCTGCATAATTCCAGGTCCCTTGCACTTTGTGAGCCAATAACACAAGCTCCTGTCCACTTGGTGAATACTTGATACATTGCAGTCAGGGACTTTCTGGGCCCATGGATCACACCCAAAGAAGAAAACAAAGAGTTTCCTCTTGGGTGGGGATTCTGCCCAGTTCCATATAAGCACATCATGGATTCCTGGAAGGTGAAGTAAGGAGGCCAGGTCTGGGCGGCACCATATTGACCACAGGGTGGATGGTAGGGTCTGGCATCTTGTCTTCATGCTAGGGGAAAGAACCACCCCCATGCCCCATCACCTGGTAATGGGTGTGCCAGGACCCCTGGACGCAGAGGCAGGCACTCGGCTGATGTTACTGAATCTGTCAGTCTAGTGTCTGGGACTGGGAATTTCCTGAGGATCTGCCCCCTGCACCAACCTACTTAGGCCCAGACCTGCCTAGCTGCCAGGACTCCATGCCACATGTGTCTCTGTGATCCTGTCCTGTCTTCTGGCTTGTCTCCAGTCATCATGGAGTCCCAATTCAGCTATCCATTGGAGCTGAATTGGCTTGTTGGTATTGTTCTTCTTTCCTCTTTAGCATGTTTCCTAGCTGTGTTATGTGTATTTGCGTGCAATAGGCCTTTGTAACAACTGGTGTCCTGCAGCCTGTTAAATGTATAATAAAGACTCCAATATTCTATATTTTAAAATGTGGCTTCTGGGATGATTTACCTTACAACAAAGGGATACATCTGTGTGCAGCAGAGACCCTCCAGAGTCAAGGAACCAGCTTGGTTAAGAATCTGCTAATTTCCCCAGAAGTGGAATGGAAGCTAACTATCCATGTGGTCCCAGAGCCCCAAGGTCTCTGTAGACACTGCTTACAATCCCTCCCAAACATGGCCGCCATCAGACCAAACAGCCTGTGCTTCCTGTGCCCCGCGAGCCACCATGACTGACTACCTGAGTTTATCTCTCGCCTCTTACCTTGCAAAGACCAGGAAAATACAGGATGGCTCCACCAAAGTCTCCTCACACAACTTTCAGAACTCCAGACGCGCCAGGGACGCCACCTTCCTTTGTCCTGCTGGTCCCCCAGGGTCTCCTGTGCGCCTGCGCACCCCTCCGAGTTCTAAGAGCACTTGCGGACGTGCTGGTGGATTCTCTTTCAGTATCCACTTGATGGCAGTGTTGTACCGGGAATGCTACCGCGAGTTGTTCCTGCTGCGCTCCCTTTGCCCTTTCTGGAGTAAAAAATGCCAACCGTTTCCATGCAGATTCCAAAATGCTTGCTCACCCTCTTGGATTGTGGACTGCATAGCTGACCAGTAGAACCCAAGCATGGACTTTGGATTTTGCCCACATTTCGGGGACTCTGGAGGGTTCTCTTTCTGCTGTAGGCAAAGGGAAAAGCTCCCCCCTTCAGGCATCACATCCCACCAGGGGCTCTAATGTAACCTTTCTCTAGCACCAGGATAGGCAAAATGAATACCAGGTTGGTGCCAACCCAGCTGTCTGCCCAACTGGTCAATCATTGTTTCTTGGTGCTGAGAGGCTGTGTGAGCCTCTGTTCTGGAGACAACACTAACTCAAAACAAGAAGCACAGCACCCTACCACTTCAGCCAATCTTGCACTACTGCAGCCAGATTTGGACCCCCATGTGTCTGCGGGGTTTGCCCAGAAATAAAATCTAGTTTGTGTGTACACCCAGCATGCCCATCTCAGGCTCCATGGGTCTCAGAGGCTCTTCCTCCAACTGTCCAAGACACATACATATGCATACACACTTGCTCCCTCTCTTTGTCTCTCTCCATGTGTCTCTTTCTACCTAATAACAGAGTTAATTCTAAGCAAGACCAAGAACTTTGTGCTGCTGCACTCCCAGCACTGCTCAGACAGAGAAGAAGGAAGAAGGAAGGAGGAGGACGTGAAAGGGGAAGAGGAGGAGGAGGAGGAGGAGGAGGAGAAGGAGGAGGAGGAGAAGGAGAAGGAGGAGGAGGAGGAAGAGGAGGAGGAGGAGGAAGAGGAGGAAGAAGAAGAGGAGGAGGAGGAGGAGGAGGAGGAGGAGGGGGAGGGGGGAGGAGGAGGAGGAGAAGGAGGAGGAGAAGGAGGAGGAGGAGGGGGGAGGAGGAGGAGGAAGGGGAGGAGGAGGAAGGGGAGGAGGAGGAGGAAGGGGAAGAGGAGGAGGAGGAGGGGGAGGAGGAGGAGGAAGGGGAGGAGGAGGAGGAAGAGGAGGAGGAAGAGGAGGAGGAGGAGGAGGAGGAGGAGAAGGAAAAGGAAAAGGAAAAGGAGAAGGAGGAGGAGGCAGAAAATAAAGATGCAAACAATAAAAAGAATTCTTGGATGGAATACAACAAGACCCAGGAAGCTAAGAAGATGCACCACTGGTCAGGGACCACAAACCATGGATTCTGGGAAGTGATGGGGCCATGTACAGCAGGGATCCATGTGGATCCAGGCACCTGCTCATTTAAGAACTGCCAGTTTCACTAGAAGAAAGAGGGATAGAAGCCAACTGTCCAGTTGCCTCTGCCAAAGGCTCCCTACCAAAAACCCCCGAAACACTTCAGGGAAGCCTTCTCTAGAGTCCCTTATGCACATGGGAGACTCCTGCAGTTCCAAGTATGCATGCAGAAATGTTGGAAGAATTCTGATGATTAAATCCTCTTGAAGTCAGTATTGTAGCAAGAATACCAACTTGTTTTTCCTGCCCTGCTGTGCTCCCTCTCTTTGTAAAGCAAAAAAGAAAAAAGAAAAGAAAAAGAAAGAAAGAAAAAAGAAAAAAAAAGCCAACCTTTTCCACTAGGACTCTAAAATGGCTGTTCATCTACTTGGGCTCTGGGCTGCACAACATGGGAACACAGAACCCAAGCCAGGCCATGGACCCTTGCAGTCTTTCTGCCTGCATCATATACAAGAAGGGAAAATGAGGGAGGAATGGACAGAGGAAGAAAAACAACAACAGAAATTGTCTAGGCAGTCGAGTAACCCGAGGCAGAGGGTATGGCAGACCCATGCCCACCCCATAATTCCTCCCAGACATGGCCGCCAAATGCCCACAGAGCCCATGTTGTGTTCCTGCCTAGGCTTTTCTTCTTCCCTGACATTTCCTAGAACCAGACAGACACTACTCAGCTGTGCCAAGGGCTCCCCACATGCCTCTCAAGATCCCAGACCTTTCCTGTGGCACCTGCTTCTGTCCTGTGGTTCTCAGACCTCCCTGTGCGCATGCACGCCCCCTTCCACTTGTAAGAGACCTCGCACAGTTGCTGGCGGATTGTTTCTAACCCCGCTTGATGGCAGTGTTGTACCAAGAATGCCATTCTGCCCACCCTCCACACTTTGCAGCACAAAAACACCAACCTTTTCCACTAGGCCTACAAAATGGCTGCTGACCAGCCTGGGCTCTGGGCGGCACTGCACTGGAACATGGAACTAAAGCAGGGATTTGGGGCTCTGCCATACTTGCCAGGGTCTCTGAAGGATGCTCTTTATTCCTGTTTTAGGCACAAAAAGGGAAAGGTTCCCCCTCCAGGCATCCCACCCTACCCAGGCTCTGCCCTGTCCTCTCCTTTCCTCTGCCTTTGGTCAGAATTCAGGGAGAAAATTTGCCCACCTGGACCAATTCTGAATGGAGCCTTCTCTCAGCAATCTTAGCATGCATTATGGCCACTGGCTCAATGTTGCAGCACAGGCCACTGCTGAGAGCTAAGTGACCTGAAGCTGCAGTGCCTGAACTCTATTCCTATAGTCTCCAGGGAACAGCCCTAGCATACTCAGTCACCCCTTCTTACACAAAATCTGGTTCAAGGCTTCATAGGGATAGGTGTTACTTAGAGAGGTACCCAGATGTCAAAGTTAGGTTCATGCTGGCCTAGGCTGTCCCAAGTCTCAGATGAAGTCTTGGATAAGATAGGGTGAAACTCAGGCACAGTTCTGGAGGCTTGCAACAACTTATATGTTGTAGGCCAGTAACAGCTGTAAACAGGCAAGGCCATCCATAGCCCTTTGGTGCTCTGGTGCACAGACTATTGCTCTGTATGACCTAAAGTCAGGTGGACATCGACAGTGGTGGCCACCTTTGAATGCTGAGACACATGACAGCTAGGATTCCCAAGTTCATGCTATAAAAAAACATGCTGTGAGGACCTCCATTCTGGAGACAACCCAGAGTCAAAACAAGAAACACAGTAGGGCTGGGAAGGTAGCTCAGCGGTAGAGTGTATACCTTGCAAACATGAGGCCCTGGGTTCGATTCCTCAGCACCACATAAACAGAAAAAGCCAGAAGTAGTGCTGTGGCTCCAGTGGTAGAGCGTTAGCCTTGAGCTGAAGAGCTGAGGAACAGCGCCCAGACCCAGAGTTCAGGCCCCATGACCTGCAAAAAAAAAAAAAAAAAAGAAACACGGTAGTCCTTCAGCCATTGGTGCCTCACCCAAGCATCAAGTCCTCACACTTGGGGATTATGTTTGGAATGGCCCAGAATCAAAACCTCACTTTGTCTGTCTACCCTGCACCAATACACAGACCTGCATACATACACACACACATACATACACACAGTACACACACACACACACACACACACACACACACACACACACACACACACACACACACACACACACACACACTTTCCCTCTCTCTCTCTCTCTGTGGTGTGTGTGTGTTCTCTGTTTCTATGTCCTATATATAGTCTGTGTCTGTCTGGCTCCTGGGTATTCATGTAGATTTCTATTCTATCTTCACATAACCTGCCTGTTTCCTATTCCCTCAGTCTCTTAAAGAGCCCTGGGAGAGGAAAGGCCGTGGGAGAATTTTTAGCATACTGAGAGGCATTTCCTCAAAAGAAGAAAACATAGTCACGATATCAGCAAGAAGCTGGATAAGTAGTGCCACAGCTATTGTGTTCCTGACTCCTTCTTCACCCTAGGCCTTCAAGTGATGTGATATTCAATATGCACTGGGCGAAAGATGTGGTGAAGCTTCTCAGACAAAAAGCTAGACTGCTGGGGCTGGGAAGGTGGCTCAATGGTAGAGCGCTTGCCTTGCATGCCTGAGGCCCTGGGTAAGTGGCCGTAAGTGGCACTGTGGCTCAAGTGGTAGAGCGCTCGCCTTGAGCTGAAGAGCTGAGGGACAGCGCCCAGGCCCAGAGTTCAGGCCCCACTACCGGACCCAAAAAAATAAATAAATAAATAAAGCTAGACTGCTGGTATGGGTTTACTAATTCTTTGAAACTGCCTCTCCAATCCACCAACCTGCGCTGAACACAGGGTGCAGAGAACAAAAGGTACCTGCCAGTCCCTGGTCTGACCACATGAGCTCTGTGACCTGGCATTTATAGCCCATTCCTCGAGCCCACTAAGGATGTGCTCCCTCGGAGAGGAGCCAAGGATGTCACCTCCTAGATATTCCCAACATGAATGCGCTTAGTGAGACCTAGAAGAAACAACCACCTACCCATCAAGCTGAGCACTGCCTTGGGCATTAAGTTGGTGACACCTGTGCAGGGCCACTCCCTAAGTTGATTCAATGTTGCTCTCATCATATCCTGGGCAAGGCATTCCAGAAGGGACAAGTTTCAAAATGCAATCACCTGACATGCCATTGCTAAGAGTGGGGATGTGGGTGGTAGAGTGAGATGAAAGGTAGGCCTGGCATATGCTGATCACAGGAGAACCAAGCCAGATGGCAAAGGAACTGTCTACAGACTGCAGGAACCCTTCTCTTCCACACAGGGGCCATGCATCTACAAGGCTTAAAAGTCAGGAGAACCATTTCATCCTGGACTCTACTACTATATCTGCCTGGTCAGAGACAGGGCCAGGATTCTTGACCCATATAGGACACACATGGAAGGGGACAGATTACTTTCACAAGACAAGGGATGATGCCTAGTACTAGACCAGGTTCCCAGCATGTCTAAGGCAGCTGTATTCCAAGTACTTGTCTGGCAGGGAAAAAAAAAAGGAAGTAAAGAATAGAAAATTTTAAAAAAGAATAGGAAATAATATTTCATGTATGGGATTGCAAAGAAGACTAGGCACCCAGGAGTATGCCACTGCTCAGGGACACCAAAACAGTCGTAAATTCCTGAAAAAGGCAGCTATATGCAGCAAGGACCCTCTTAGGTCCAAAGACCTGCTTGATGCCTGAGACCTGCTTGTTACCCACAAGAAAAATGAATGAAGGCCAACTGTTTTGGTGAGCACAAAGCCCCAAGATGCTGAGGGCTCTGCA